GGTTCGTATTTTAAATAATAAAACTATGACCTATTTGATTTAATTATGCATAAGGACTCAATGTGGATCAGGGCTTATTTTAAAACAATAAAAATCGAATTATAGACTTGTAAAAAAAATATATTGAAAATATAAAGTGATATTTTAAAAAATTTAGGTCAGTTCTGAATTTTTATTTTCTTAAATTACCAAAAGATTTAAGATAGAAATTTAGAATTTATCATTCGTTACTATTTTGAAGTCCTCTCTCTCTCTCTAAACAATCCTTACAAAAAGAAATTAACCTTACAATTAGATCCGAGCTGAAAATCGTGCATGACTAAGAAACAAACATACTGTTGTTGTTTAAGAGAGATATTTATAACCCAGGAGCGTAGAACGCCAACTACCCGGGGAGTCCAGCTCACTAGTATAGACTAGTGTTGAGCGCTTTTACTCGCGTCCTGTTTTAATTGCTCAGTTGAACCAGTTGACCAGGAAGTTCCATTCTGAGGTTGAGTCTGGAAGGCTGGCCATAGATTTTTATTTAAATAAACCAAATCACATATTTAAAGTCAATGTACAGTTAAACCTATCTATAGCGCCCCCTCTAAATAGCGCCTTCCTCTCTATAGCGCCCGATTTTAAATACGTAGTACGATGGAATTTACTTAAGAGTGACCTGTCTATAGCATTCCTTCTCTATAGCACCCTATTTTGGTGAGTCCCAAGAGGGGGCGCTATAGACAGGTTTAACTGTACTTCTAATAAAATAAGCGCTTGTCTTTTTATAGAATTTTTTTTTTTTGCAATTACATATTCACTACATAAAGTATTATCAAATACTTCAAAAATCAGCATTTTCCACAATGAAGAACAAACTGTCGACCACCACAAATGTCACGCCTTCATAGGTTCCAAACAGCCACCATCCTCCTAGGTAATTTACCCCTGTACAGAACCAAGTACAGTACATCTGATAAACTCCACCATTAGACATGTCAACCTGGATAGTTGGTGTACGTGGTGACTCCAGGAATCCTGTTTACCTCAAGAAAGAGAGAGAGAGAGATAAATAACATAGTCTTATTGATATCCGTTAAAATATAGGCAAAAGTGCACAGACTGCAATATTTAAGTGGAGGTGAAAAATTGACAATTTTGATGAGATTATTATAATAAAATATACAACTATTACAATAAATATGTGGCGACTACACTTTGCTTCAGCGAGCCGAACTAAGACGGCATCGGCGGGCGTCAACACTTCACTACGCATGCGCGTGGGACGTCATCAGAGACGCTGGCGACTTAGCGGTAAACAACAAGGCTAGTGCGACGGCCGTTATTTCAACCGTTGCTTCTTTTCTCTTTATAATTTCTTGCTTTAAATAAATTAATTTTAATTATAATTTTATCGGCAGCCTTTCCACAAGCCACACCAACACAGCACATCAACAACCATCCTACAAATTGGTGAGCCGGACGTGATGCAAAAGTTATTTTAATCACACTTCTATATATTTTTTTATTTCATCCAGAAAACTTTCAACAGCCCCAGAATGCAAGACGCAACTACGGAACATCCGGAAGGGCCAACATCCACGGCACCCTCCCAAATATCAAGATTGGCTTTCCGTGCACCACCATTCTGGCCCAACAACGTTGAACTGTGGATAAGCCAGCTAGAAGCCGCTTTCGGTCTAGCCGAGATCTCCCGCGACGAAACTAAATTCCAAGCAACGGTTGAAATAACGGGCGCCGCACTAGCCTTGTTGTTTACCGCTAAGTCGCCAGCGTCTCTGATGACGTCCCACGCGCATGCGTAGTGAAGTGTTGACGCCCGCCGATGCCGTCTTAGTTCGGCTCGCTGAAGCAAAGTGTAGTCGCCACAAATATGTACATGGCGCCACCACTACAGAGCTTGGTGGAAGATCACCAGTGGGTCTCCAGCGACACCACGTATTTCGCTCTCTACGAAGAAAACGTAGATCGCATGCTTCACCGCTGAGGAGATTCAAGAGAGAGAGAGAGAGAGAAATTGATATTGAAACTATTTTTATTACAACATCCATATTAATTAGAATACTTTGTTATATTTATAATATATTTGCCTTATTCTGTTTGTCTGTTTGTTTGTCTGAAGCTCACGGATGGGATTTTTCATAACCATCGGTGGTTCAGTGGTAGAATGCTCGCCTGCCACGCGGGCGGCCCGGGTTCGATTCCGGCCGATGCATTTTTTTTTTTTTTTTACAATTTTTAAAACTCATTTATATATTATACAAGAATGACATCCACGGCGCCAATTTATAATTGTAACGAATAGTATTTGAATAAAAGCATTTAATCGGGTAAAACCCGGGCGTTGCCCGGGTCATTCGTATAATAATTGTATAAACGAATGCAAGACAAAATCACCGCGAATGTTTCTTTTTTTTAAGGCAATTATCGTTATTTATCGTTAATTTTTGTTTCGATTTTATTGAAAAAAAAAACGATATGGTGCCTTTAAAAAATGATCTTTATTACTATGCAGTTTTCTATTTAGTCAATATACCTAAGTTCATGTTGCAAATGTAATTATCTCTATCGATTTAGTAGGTGAAATGCAAAAAAAAATCGACATGATGAAATCTTTATGAAAATTCACATTTTTATTTTTATATTTTCAAGACACACACAGTTTGGGGCGGGACGTTTCACAAGAGAGACATCCACGGCGCCAATTTATAATTGTAATGAATAGTATTTTAATTAAAACATTTTAAAAACACACAGTTTGGAATGGGACGTTTCACAAGAGTGACATCCATGGCGCCAATTTATAATTGTAACGAATAGTATTTGAATTAAAACGTTTTTAAAATATATGCGCACTCGGGTAAAACCCGGGCGTTGCCCGGGCCATTCGTCTAGTATTTCAATAATATTTTAAGAACTTTATCCTGTAAATATTATTGCTGAGAGAGAGATATTCATAACCCTGAAGCGCAGAGCGGCTGCTGACTTTATCATTTTAAATTGTGTTTAAATCCTGCCCAATTTACGTTTTAAACGAGTATCTAAAATAGTTTAGAGTTGATTATTTGAATGTAAACTATAGAAAAAATATGATAAATTAACAGCTGTTAAATAAATAAATATATTAATATAAAATATTATATATAGCATTTTAAGAGTGAAATAGTCGCATTTAAAAAAAAAAATATGTGTAAAAATTAAGAAACAATATCATAAAGATTAATTAAATACATTTGAAATTAAGTACAAAACATTATTATAGGAGCAAATAACCGCGAAATAAATTAGAAACAGGTTTTATTGGATAAACTGGTGTTCTTGTGTGGCAAGGAAGCAATTTTTGCGAATGCGAGCAAACCATCCTTCACAGTCTCCTGTTGCAATTCTACTGATTGCTGCATCCGTGATAACCTCGCCTAACGTGATGTCACATCAAGGAAGCAGCGACCATAACATTGTTTTAATTTTGCTAAATGAAAATTAATCGTATTAATCATATATGAATATGGTGACAAAAACTCCACGATGCTTCTTAGCAGACTGATTCAGCGATGGTGTGCGTTCTTGCATTATCCATATAGAAACAGGCATCATTAAATCCATATCGCGGGGCTACAATTCCATCAAGCTCACATAAAAATTCAAAGAATTATTATTACAACCGCCGTGTTTGACGACAAACGATGAATTATTTTTAAAAGTGACTAATTCACTCTTAAATGCTTTATTAATAATTATTTCTAATTATTTATATATATACTAGCCGAATGACCCGGGCAACGCCCGTGTTTTACCCGATTGAATGTTTTGATTCAAATACTATTTATTACAATTATAAATTGTGGCCTAGTGGTCATGGCATCTGCCCGGTAAGCAGAAGGTCGTGCGAATATTACGCAAAAAATGGACTGAATCAGAATTCTCTCCAGATAATAGGCTGCGAAGTGGCTCGGGAGGTAAGTCAATTAATGGCAAACGGACTTTCCCGTTTGAACAGCACATTCCAGAAGACTCATCTTTCCATCTTAAGGCTCCACAAAACCTGCATGTAGTGTCCATCATCCCAAGGGAAATTAAAGGGTGCTTGAGGTATTCAACAGCAACAGAATAATTAAAACCTGCATTTTCCATAGAAGACCAAACGCTGCTGAAAAAATTATTTGTTCTAGTATTCCTCCGAGTAGAAGAATATCTCTCTGAATGCGCCTGTAAGCGAGAATGGATGGGATCAGGTGTCTCTAACGACCGCACAGCGGCTTGACGCGCGGACTGTTCACGCAATCTTCGAATATTCTGTCCTCTGGTTTCGCGCAGTCTGTAAGCATGCTGAACCCTAGAGCTATTGGAACGCTGAGAAAGATTGCTTCTCCGATGGCTTGGCATACCTACAAACACAAAGCATTAGTAAAAATAAGGATAACTGAAAAATGTAAAACATCAAGGGCTGAGAATGAAGAAAAAATTAAAAAATAGTGTATTAAAATAAGCTCGACTCACATGACTAAGGTCAAAATAAAAAAATGCATAGTAATAATCTGAAAGGAGGGGAAAAATGCATAAAACTCAGTGAAGTGGGAAAAAAAATGAAAACTTAAAACAACTGATAAAAAAAATCAAATGGAAGAAGACGTAAAAAAAAAAGAAGTATAATTTGCTGAAAAAATCTGCCAATAAATATGAGTAGAACATATTCTGGCTCCCTCATTGGTCAGATTGCTGATTGTACATTTATTTACTTAAAGTTAATTGTACCTATATATTCAAAAATATGTTTGTACCATATAGATATATAAACAATACTTAAAGTTGCACCGCATAAGTTTCTTTTCTATGAAAAATCAATATTTTATTTCAAAGAGAAATATCTAGTATTTCTAACTTTTTTGAATGACGTATGAAAGGGTGAAAATATGAAGCGTAATGGTCTATATATAATAATTGGATGACGTATGAAAGGATGAAAATATGAAGAGTAATGGCGAACGGAAAAATAAAAGTGTCCAGGGGCGGGAATCGAACCCACAACCTTCTGCTTACCGGGCAGGTGCCATGTCCGCTAGGCTACTCTGGACATATTTCTCCGTTCGTAACTAATACTTAAAGTACTTAAAGTACGCTTCATATTTTCACCCTTTCATACGTCATTCAAAAAAGTTAGAAATACTAGATATTTCTCTTTAAAATAAAATATTGATTTTTCATAGAAAAGAAACTTATGCGGTGCAACTTTAAGTATTGTTTATAATCATACCCCGCAGTCTTTATAATATATAGATATATATGAGCAGCTACATATAATATGAAGCAGATAAATATAAATACTACCTAAACAAATGACAGCAAAACAAAAAAAAAAGACAATGGAAGAAGACCTAAAAAAAAAAAAGTCTAATTTTGGTTGAAAAAACTGCCCAATAAATATGAGTAGAACATATTCTGGCTCCCACATAGGTCAGATTGCTGACTGTACATTTCTTTACTTAAAGTTAATTGTACCTATATAATAAAAAATATGTTTGGACCATATTACTATATATAGTCACGACCGTCTTTCCTCATCGGCCGCCTCTGTCACGGATAATATACAGTTATCATCGTCATGCGTTCTTAATTCTGTCACCGTTTGCTTTTGGTTCAGTGGTAGAATGCTCGCCTGCCACGCGGGCGCCCCGGGTTCGATTCCCGGCCGATGCATTTTTTTTTTTTTTTACAATTTTAAAACTCATTTATATATTATACAAGAATGACATCCACGGCGCCAATTTATAATTGTAACCAATAGTATTTGAATAAAAGCATTTAATTGGGTAAAACCCGGGCGTTGCCCGGGTCATTCGGCTAGTAGATATATATGAGCAGCTATATAATATGAAGCAGATAAATATAAATCCTACCTAAACAAATGACAGCAAAATAAAAAATTGAGCCAACCCTTAAAAAAAGGAGTTACTAAAAATGCAAAGAAGCTGCTTACAATATAAATGCTAATAAGTAAAAACTATTGCATGGAACAAATATATAGTAAAATATATGTAGCAAGCTATACAGCAAAATCATAATTTTTTTCAATAAATATGAAAAAGAAAAAAATATAGAATATGAGCAGCTATATAATATGAAGCAGATAAATATAAATCCTACCTATACAAATGACAGCAAAACAAAAAATTGAGCCTACCCCTAAAAAAGCAGTTATTAAAAATGCATAGAAGCTGCTTACAATTTCACAAAATTTTTTTCAATAAATATGAAAAAGAAAAAATATATAGAATATGAGCAGCTATATAATATGAAGCAGATAAATATAAATCCTACCTATATAAATGACAGCAAAACAAAAAATTGAGCCTACCCCTAAAAAAGCAGTTATTAAAAATCATAGAAGCTGCTTACAATATAAATGCTAATAAGTGTAAAACTATTGCATGGAACAAACATATATAGTAAAACATATGTAGCAAGCTATACAGAAAAAAACATAATTTTTTGCAATAAATATGAAAAAGAAAAAAATATGGAATACACTGCTCTAAATCGTAAATGATTATATGAATAATAATATAATATGAATATTCATTATGAGACTCAAACAGTATACCTTATCTAAAAAAATGTAGTATCAATTAAATTAGAAAAATATTTCTAAACAATAATATTTCCAAAGAGTTTAAATAAATATATATAATCTTACCTTTTGAAAAATGCAGCGTGTAAACTAACAAAATAAGTGTAAAATTATTAACCAATCAAATTCATGTATCGTCGCGACCAGTGCGGCGCCAAGCGGCAAAAGGCGGGAACTAATCCATTTCAGTTAAACATAAAAAAAAGCACATTAACCTTTGTAGTTTTTTGAATAGCCTATATGTTAAACGAAATCTTCAGCTACCTACATGCGAAATTCCATAATGATTGAGTCAGTAGATTTTGCGTGAAGCGATAACAAACATCGATTTCGCATTTCATTTTTATAGATATAAAAAGGAAAGGATAAAGGACTAAAGGAAAGGAAAAGGATAAAGGAAAGGAAAAGGATAACACATTTATAGTTGTTAAAAGAGAGTAGTAATATTAAATGTTGATAACATTTATTTATGGCTTTTACTTAAAAGTTATATTGAAATTGGAAGAACCAACAAACATTAAATATCAATTAGAATCTATTTTTTATTGAGTTATTTACATATAAAGGTATAAATATACATCTTAATGGTTCTGGCACCATAGTACATCAGTTATCATGTAAGAATTCTTCTAAATTCCAGACATCCATTTGATAAAAGATCTTAAGCAAAACGAGTGTTTTGGTTATTTCGAAATTACTTCTAGCGACCTTGATGAACTTAGAAATAGACTTTACCCTTTTAATGCCTTCATGATAACGTTCTTCGGTCATATCTGAGTAAATAGGGAAATGTTCTTTGTACCAGGGCAAGTTCGATTCTAGAAATTGTCGAAGCCCCGTAGAATCATTTCTGAGGTATCCCGTCACTTTGTTAGGATTAGTTTCTGTCAAGAACCTATATAAGGTAATACTACTTTTTCCCAGAATATGGCTTTGCATCATTTTTATCTGACTCTGACAATATTCCCAAAAATTAGACAAGGCTTTTGTCAAATGAATATTTTTTGGGATGGCCAATGTTGGTTGAAGAAGAATCAAATGCATTATCATTAGCTGCATAATTGGCTCATAAGAAAGGAAATCAGATCTGAGATTTATTATTGTTAAAAAGATGTTCAAATCAAATTTGTCAGAATACCTTAAGAGTAGTTTAAAATCGCTACAATCATTATTATATGGATTTGAAATTTTCATTGCGGCATTACTCAAATATGTTTCTCCTGATTCAGTTATAATATTCACATCAGCTCCAGCTTCAACAAGGGCTTGTATGATGGTTGAATTCCTTCTATCGATTGCTATACCCAATGAAGTATCTCCCAGAATATTTCTTTTTTCAATTTTTGCGCCTGATCGTATTAACAATTTTCATTATATTCCTTCTATTAGCTGTACATGCA